AGGACAATGAAATGTTAAGGAAATTATTTAATTATTTTTCTGTCAGACTTTTATACCATACTGTCCAGTTTGACAAATGTTTACATTTGGGTTGTGTACTTCTATATGTTTTGACTTATTATATATAGTTTATTAACATGTATTTGTATATTTTGAGAATAATTTTCTAAAAATGAGATCAAGATTTAAACACCCCTAAAATTTCTACTTTTAAATGTATCAGAGACATCTTTCCATATCAAAACTCAATTTTTTATAGCTTTTCTACATTCTATTATTTATTTGTTTCTATACTCAAGATTGTTCATTTATGTAGTCTTAAATTTTACCTTTTGGCATTTTCAGTTATGAATACTTTTTATCTGTAAAATAAGAATTTAAAATTGGGAAAGCTGTCTTTTGCACATTTATTGTGTATTTCCCTTTACTATGTCATTGCTTTACACTGGTAAACGCTAGTGTGTGGCGACAGTGACAGCTTCTCTGTTGAGTTAGAGAAATTGGCCTGAGATTTCCCTCTCACTGAGCACTTGGTAGTCATGAGCTGCACTTCCGTGAACCCATGAGCCAACAAAATACAGGGCTTGGAGAACAATTAAACGGCCACAACATTCCAATTCATCATTTCGTTCACCTGTGTGTCTTCCTCTGAAGCACCTGTCACTGCAGTGCCCAGCTCTCCATCTCCCTGTTTTCTTTCTTAAAGTGGTATTAGTGTGTCCACATGTATTTTAAATGCATATGTTTAATTTTACCCACATTGATTCCTTTTCTCACTGTCTCCACGTGTTACAGTGGTAAGAGCCATTCCTGCTCATGTGGTATGAGCCTGTGAACTTTTATAACTTGTTCAATTATTTTGCCAGAGTTGTGTATTCTCTTAGGATTATTTCAGATGGCATACAATTGAACACTTGAGATATATATTGATAATGGTGTTTATTGTTAAATTGTATTTCTTTTTCTCTTTTTCTTTAAACTTCCTTTAGTGGTTTGAAAACACTTGGGAGCCGAATATCTAGATTTAAATTTGAAGGCTGCAACTTATTAGTTAACATAGAGCCACATTTTTTCAGCCCAACTCTAATAAGTCTTGGGTTTTCATAGACAAATTTAGGCCATTTACATTTATTATGATACACAACCACTGCTCTTCCACTTACTTGTTCTTGTCCCTGTCTCTCTTGCCAGCTTTGCCTGTGAGTTCCTCACCCTCTGTCTTTTGGAGAGTCCTCATTTGCTAACGAGATTAGCAGTAGTACAGATTTTATGTTATTTTTTAATGAGTTTATGTAAGTAAAATCACTTGATGTGTATTTGGCTTAGAGGAAGCACTTGTATGTGTTGGATGTTTTTTTGTGTTTCATGTTAACCTGTTGTTCTTTTTAAATTCCATTTCTTAGCTGGCTTTTTAAACTAATTGTGGCCTTTCCCTCGTTCAGCTGGAAGTTTACTGGACGTCTCTTTTTCTGTGGCAACATACCTATGTTAAATTTACATATATATCACTGTGTTGATATTTAAGAAAATAATAACTAAATGCTTTGTCTACTAAAGCTCATATTGTAAACAAGTCCTCGTTGAAACTTTCCAAGTGGATATGCTAGTTTTCACTGTTGTCTATAGTATATGAAAGTTTTGGACCCTGAGTTGTCTCTATTATATATTAATATTATACATTATGTCTTGGTATTGTCAGGCTTCTGTTTTCACTATAGCCATTTGAACAGGTATATAGGCACTTCTCACTGTTTTAAATTTGTACTGATGGGTACCAGACTTTACAGCACCTTTTCATACACGTGTGGCTGTTGGATTTTCCCCTTTATTATTTCCTTTTTAAGGCTCTTGTGATGGGGTCTAATTCTCTGTTTTCGCACTTTCTTTATTGTTGTTGCCAAATCTATTATTGTGAAAAATGTCTCCTTCTTCTAAGAGCTTTATATTCAGTGTTTCTTTTCAGTCTTTAGTTGATTCTGAGTTCAGTTTTGTATATTTAGTGATATTTGTAGCCCCACTGAGGACTGTGATTGCACGGGAGGGTTGGTTTCCAGGCTCCTTGTTCTCTTTCTTTCATTTCTGTACCTGCTATGAAGATTTCATGTGAATCTTCTTGTGAGTATATGTTTCCTAGTTAAGGATTTGCAATGCTGTAGGGTAGATACACATTTAACATGAAATTGCCAGATAGCTTTTCAGAGAAATTATGTCAGTACTTGGCATTATCAATTTTTAAAATGTTAGCCAGCCTGGTAGATAGAATTCTTATTTACTTTTGTCTCTTGGTTGAATTATTACTATTTTAAATATTTCATTTATGATTTTAAAAACAATTTCTTTTATTATTATTATTTATTATGCTCGCGGAGGTCAGAAGAGGCTGTCGGATCCCCTGGGACTGGAGTTACAGACAGTTGTTAGCTGCCATGTGGATGCTGGGAACCAAATTCATGTCCTCTGCAAGAGCAGCCAGTGTTCTTAACCGCTGAGCCATCTCTCCAGCCCCTGATTTTTATTTTTTATGTGTGTGAGTGTGTTGCCTACATGCATGTAAGTGCACTTGTGTCATGCAATGCCCGCAGAGGTTGAAGATGGTGTCTGATCCCCGGAACTGGAGTTAGGACAGTTGTTAGCTGCCACGTGGGTGCTAGGAATCAAACTCATGTTCCCTGCAAGAGCAACCAGTGCTCTTAACTGCTGATCCATCTCTCCAGCCCCTTGGTTGAATTATTGTTAAGGCAAGGTAATAACCTAAAATTTGATCCTTAACTGTGAATTTCTTTGTCTCCTCCCCCACTGTGTAAGCTTTAGGAGGTGCTGCTGGCTCCTCCCTTCCTAAGCCTCCCTGACATGCATAAACACTCAGTAAAAGTTTGTTTCAGACAACTGAAATAACGGAACAAATCAATTGAAATGTAATTACCTTCCAGATAACCCAGAGGTCTGTAGATTTCAGTTGTGTCTAAGATATTCTGCAGACCAGCAGCTGTTCACTGGTGATTCAGTGGAGGAGGCGCCAAGAGAAAAGTGTGGAACAGGTTTAGAGTGGGTAGCTGTGGTACATTTTCGGTATTTCCACTGAAAACCTTTTCAAACCTTAGGATACAGTAACACTGAAGGGCAGATAGTCTTAGCAACTCATCTGTGGAAAGGCTCTGACTGCTTCTTGTGACCATGTGATCCATTCATGTTTAAAATGAATTATTCCACTGATAAAATATATGCATTTATATATGCTTAATCATTATGATACACCAAAACTTGTTGACTGTTATTTGGTTTATGAACTATCCAAGCCTTTATATTTCTTTTTAACTGACTCCTTTGGTCCATTTTTCTGTTGAAAATAACTGCCACCAAACAATTGCAGGAAAAGTAGGAGGAGGCAATGAAAGGTGAGAGGAAGAGCGTGAGGAAAAGGAAGCAGACCACGTTGTGTTAGTCATGATTCCTTTTCTGTTAGCACCAACAGAATTAAATGCAGTTTCTACTCATAGTACTTAAAAGTGGTTCCTAAATTACAGTGCTTAATAATTTTACATAGACGCAAACAATAAATCGTCATTCATTTTATGTTATTAGCTATTGTACGATTTATAGCAGTTGACTTTCTGGTTATGAATTGCTTCTCATTGTGACATGGATTTTGGGGAATGCGTGGGTGCTGCTTTTACATACTGTGTAACGACAGTTTGTTTAATTCTGTATTTTATGAAATTTCAATAGCAAAATACGGTTGCTGGGCAATGAGATTAAATGCTACTAATGACTTAAGACCCAAGTTTGCCTACTGAGAAAAATGTAAGGACTTCTTCATTCTTACTTTCCACCCAGTGCTAAATAAATGTTCTATAATATTTCACTTACTCTTTTCACTTTATGTGTATGAGTGTGTTGCCTGCATTTGTGTAAGTGAACCCGTGTCATGCAGTGCCTGCGGAGGTTAGAAGAGGGCATTGGGTTCTCTGGAACTAGGGTTATTGGATGGTTGTTAGCCACCATGTGAGTGCTGGGAACTGAACCCAGGTCCTCTGCAAGAACAGCCGCTGCTCTTAACGGCTGAGCCATCTCTCCAGCCCCTAAATAAATGTTTTTGAATGATAAGATCTGTTAAAATAGGCTTAGATACAGTGTTGTTCATATAGCCCATGAGAATATGCACATTTTATGAATAGTGTATTGTTGAATGATAATGATAATGCCATGGAGTACTTCTTAAGTAACTATTTCTGCTTGTCTTTTTGTTGTTTCATATTGGGAGCAGATGTGTAAGTATTAAATATTTTGGCTATTCTATTTTTTTTAAGTTTTTATTTTTTTTTGTGTGTGTGTATGAGTGTATTGCATACATGTGTGTAAGAGCACCCATGTTGTGCAGTGCCTGTGGAGGTCAGAAGAGGGTGTTGGATCTCCTGGAACTGGGGTTATGGGCAATTGTTGACTGCCATGTGGTGCTGAGAATCAAAACTGGGTCTTCTGCAAGAGCAGCCAGTGTTCTTAATTGCTGAGCCATGTCTCCAGCCCTCGCTATTCTATTTTTTAAAGTACCCAATGAGATTCTTTTTAAAAAGATGCAATTTTTTTTTGGTCTTTTTGAGACAGGGTCTCCCTGTAGCCTCAGCTGTCCTGGAACTCACTATGTAGACCATGCTGGCCTTGAACTCACAGAGATCTGCCTGCCTCTGTCTCCTGAGTGCTGGGATTAAAGGTGTGTGCCACCACGCCTGGCTGCTGCATTCATTTTTAATTATGTGTATGTGGAGGGGTGTGTATGTGCACCTGAGTGGAGGCCAGAGGTATCAGATCCCCCAGGAGCAGCAGTCACAGCTGGTTGTGAGCCACTCAGTGTGGTTCCTGGGTATCGAACTCGGGTCCTCTGGAAGAGCAAGGAGTGCTCTTAACTGATGAGCCATCACCCCAGCCCTTGCCTGTTCTATTTTGTGCAATATGTTTAGTCAAACTCAACTGAATGACTCTATTGTATTCTCTTACCCTCTCAGAAAATCAGATAAAGAAAGCTGCCTTACCCGTCCATAACTTCAGCAGCATGAATGAAGATGTTACTGTAAAGAAGGAAGCTGTTTTCCAAGCAGAAGAAGAGAGAGGTCAGGTCCATTCTAGGAATAAACGTTTCTTGTCATATCCAAGATATGTAGAGGTTATGGTCACAGCTGACGCGAAGATGGTTCTCCACCACGGGCAGAATCTGCAGCACTACGTGCTAACACTAATGTCGATTGTAAGTGCTCAGTGGGATACTTTTATAGATTTATTTTACTGTTTTGTGCTTGTATGTGTGTGTGTGTCTGGGTATTTGTATACCAATCTGTATGGGTGCCTGTAGAGGACAGAAGAGGGAATCAGATCCTGTGGAGTTACAGGTGGTTGTGAGCTGCCCTGCTTGAGTGTTGAGACCCAAACTCAGGTAATCTCATAGAGCAGAAGCACTCTTAACCACTGACACATTTCTCTGGCCCCAACTTACAGGGTTCACTTAATGTTTTTCACATAGAATTTTAAAATATTTTTTTGGAGCTCAGTGGTTAAGAGCACTGGCTGCTCTTGCAGAAGACCTGGGCTTGTTTTCTAGCACCCACATGGTGGCTAACAGCCATCCGCAACTTCAGTTCCAGGGGAATCCTACACTCTCTTCTGACCTCTGAAGGCATTGCATGGCATGGTGTACTTCCACACATGCAGGCAAGACACTCATATACTCACACAAAAAAAGATTAAAAATTTTTTTAATGTTTTTTCCAAAATCTAGTAGTAAACAAGTTGTGTTTAGATGTAAACCAGGAATAGTATTTCACTGAAATTTAGTTTAGATGGGTGAATGCTCAGAATTCGATCGTGTTACTTGGGGCAACTTTCTAAACTGTTTGAGGATCTCTCGTCATGTACAGACCGTGCCGGAAGTATTCTTCCCTGGCCTTCTGCCCTCTAGGGACAGAGGTGATCCATACTGAATTGCTCTTTGAATCTGAATTTTAAAGTCCCACCCTGTTTCTGGATGGAGGGGAGACGGTACTATTTCAACTACCTTCTCCAAATCAGAAATTTTGGTGCATAATCTTTAGTTTATAAATAAATCACTAATAGAGCTATCTTAGGACTTGTGAACTCAGAGTCTTCGGTTTGATGTGGTGTCTCTGATGATCAGTGTGGTGCTGGTGTCCATAGATCTAGTGCAGTGAGGGACACTGTGTTTGTGGCAGCTCTCTCTCTGTATTGTATGTGCACAGAGGCATGCACGTGTCAGCACATCCCTCTTTGAGCATGTCTAGATTTAGGCCTGTGGTTTGGGAGTGTTCAGCACAATCTCCTCCTTGTATGGTACAGTTGTCCTGTTTAGTTGACAACGTGGTCACTTGCTTGTGCAGGTTCTGCCCTTCATGACTGAAAGTACCTCTATTCACATGAATGCAGTTCAGGACACTTTATTGAAAAACTTTGTCCAAGGACATTGTCTGTGTCTGTAGACAGAAGACAAAATTCCCCATTTAAAATACTTGTGACTTTTTGTTTTTTTTTGTGAGACAGGGTCTCCCTATATCCCCACTTGGCCTAGATCTTGCTGTATAGAACAGGCTGACCTTGATCTCATAGAGATCTGCCTGCCTTTGCTTCCTGAGTGCTGGGACTACAGGTATGCACCACTGTACCTGGCTTATTATGATTTTTGAAGATCCCAAGATCTTGTCATTTTTCTTGTGACACTTGGTCTTAAATTCCTGCAATTTTACCATGTTATATATCACCTAAATGTAGTACTTGGTACAAAATGGGCACCCAATTAATTATTGAAATGATGAACAAGTAGTTAAAATTGATAATTTTTATGAATATATCACATTGATAAAAGCAAAGATGACCTAAAATGCTTTTCTGAAATTGTATTATATAAACATTCATTTGTATATTTGAATTAAAAATTTTAAGTGATGTAGGGTATAGATATAAATTTATACTGATGATATATTTTACTTCTGAATCTAAAATAGTTATTTCACTATGTGTTTACCTGGATATGGGGTGAGGCTCACTCATTTTGAAGGATTTTGATGGGAACTAGGACAAGGGGGATGGCAGGTAACAAGTCAAACACCGCATCAATTATGTGAAACTCAACAGAAGTTTTATTAACAACATGAAACATATATAAAAATCAGTTATAAGCACAGTTGTCAGAAGGATGGACACTTTAAAGCCAGGGTTCCTTGAGGGTGAATCAGACGTTGTTACTTTATGAAACAACTTTTGCGTCCCGTTTGTCTTGAGGGTGCACACAGCATTTCCTTGGTCTACAGTCCCGGGGAGAGACGAGGGGCTTCAGTGATGCTGGTAGCTGCTCTGGGTTTAGTGTTCTTTCTGTTCTTTCCCAGGATGCAGGGTTGAGAGAGGGAACATCCCCCTCCGGGGTGCTGGGGTTAAAGCGAGCACCACCATGCTCAGCTTGCATTGTTGTTTTTTAAAACAGTGGAAACAGCTATATAAAGGGTGTAAGCAATGCAAAAGATGGAAGGAGACAGAGTAACAAGACTGGATTTCACTTGAAACTTTCTTAGTTTTAGCATTTAAGGTCTCAAGTCTTTGAAAATGTGAGTCCTGAGCAAACTAGGACAATTGACAATACTACGTGGAGCTTATCAAATCTAGTCCAGTGTGTTTTGTGTCTTTGAAGTCCATTCCCCAAAGAGCTCAAAAGCTGTAAGAGAGGTACTGTCTCAGCTTAAATGCCCACAGATGTCTCTAGGTGAAGAAGGGCTATTAAGTCTTCGACATTTTCTTCTAATTTCTTCAAAGGTACCAATTGCATTATTCAAACACAAACACTTGGTTTATTATTTTTCTTAACTTCCCAGACTCTGATTTTTCTTCTCTAGAAATTCAGTTGGATGTTTTACATTTTCTGTAGGGCAGAGGTGAAGGTACACAGGGACTGTGGAAGAGCAATAGAAAAATGATGGAAAGCTCTCGGTGCTGGGCATGGGAAAGGTCCAATATCAAGACCTGGGTGCTCAGGACCATATGTGGAGTCAAGACCACAGCTGTCCCTTGGGGGAGGTGGGAAGTCCATTCTTTAGAATCAGCCCTCCCAACACTAGAAACTGCAAGTGACACCCCTCCCCCATCCCCAGCATAAGTCTACCACAGAGGCAAAGCCACTACCATCTACAGACTTAGAGAGAGGGGGTTATGGGACGTTCAGCCACGCAGAGAAATTTGAACCTGCTGCCTGCCCATCATGGGGATGTCCTCCATCCTCCGATCTGCTCCACCATCAGCCACCACCAGCGGAGTGTGGAACCGTGATTCACAGTTGGGGATCACAGCTCCAACCTCACAGGAGAGGACCAGAGGGAATCACAGCACTGGGTCAGGAGGGGGAGTGAACCACAGCTCCAGCTCACAGGTGGTTCCATGGCTCCAGGTTCACGGGAGGGGACCATAGCTCAGCTCCAGCTCACAGGAAAGGCCCACAACTCCAGCTCATAGGAGGGGGCCACAGCTCTGGCTCATGGGAATGGGTTTTTAATGTTCTGAGCACAGAAATTTAGGAAAAAACATGACTTGACTTGAATACAATGGCAACTTATTTAAAGAAATGTTCAAAGTGATGAAAAAGTTTCTATGTGTTACATTCTACCTATATTAGGGGAAATAACTGAATTCAATAGTTAAAGAATTCAGTAAATAGGATTTATATATACAAAATTTAGAAAGTCATCAGCTCTCACCCATCCTGAACAAAGTAGAAAACTTATGTTATTTTTTGTTTCCAACAATTTAATAAGAAATAATAAGTGTGATTTAATTAATAGAGCTTAGTGGTTTCTACTAAGTGTCCTGAAACAACTTTTGGAGTTGTGGTATAATATATTTAGTCAAGGAAGTGTGCAATTAAATAGGTAAAGATTCTGTAGCATTTTTTTGATGTGTGGCTTTCTTTGTTTTACAGCCTTAATCATCTTTATACCCCCACCCCACTGACATCCTTCCATAGCCCCCCCACCACTGTTAAAGCCCACTGGATTGTCAGTGCCCCCAGCCGTCCCCCAAGTGCAAGTCTGTCCATTGAGTCTAGTCAGCCTATCTACAGTCCCTTGCTTTAAGAAGATCAGCTCTTCTTCATCTAGCAGCAATCAGTTGCCAGCATTCCTTCAGATAAGATTGAAGTCTGTTCTTCATTTTCCCAGTTCTATGCTGGGTTATTGTCTGCCTGAGTTTGCATGGGACTTGTATATGCTGACACCATTGCCAAAGAATTGTATGAGCAGGTTCCCAGGAGCTTGTAGGACTTTGTTTCCATATGGTCATGCACCTCCTCCCTGGCTCTTACAGTCTTTCCACCCCCTCTTCTGAGATGGTCCCTGAGCCTTGGGTGGGTGGAGTTTAATAAAGGGGTCCTGTCTAAGGACCAGCATTCAGCAGACTCTTGATCTCTACACTTTGACCATTTATGACCTTTTGTGTTCCTGGCCCTCTGCTGCATGAGGAGCTTCATTACTGAGAACTGATCCTTAGTGTCCTCTTCTTTATCCCTGTTCTGTGTTCCGTGAGCCTTAGGTGTAGAGGTTGCATTACAGATGTGTCCCTTAGGCTTGGGCAATTCATAGACAATGTCTGTGTGTGACCAGTTGTGATACTTGGTGGTAGTCTCTGACTGGTGAAAATGAGCTTCTTTGATGAGTGGTGCCTGGAATATTTGTCTGTAAATATAAGGATACATATTTTGCACATAGTAAGAAATCACATTAGCGATGTGACAGTCTTGGAGTTCTTTCCAAGATCTGTGACCTTTCCTGCCATGTGTATTAGGCTATGTTTATATTGCCGCATTGAGTTTCCTCCCTTTGAGTGGGCGTTTAGCCCAATTAGGTGGCTGTTGATTGCCCCCAAGATAAAAGTGCCACTACTGCACCAATGTCGTATGCTGTGCTGGCCACTGTGTGGTTATTTTGTCCCTGAGGTGAAGCATGAGGTTATTTTGGCATCTGCATGTGCATTTTAAGTGACTGGAAGCTGTGTCAGCTGGAGCAGTTTTTCCTGAGCATGTTTATTCTGCTGTTAAGTGAGGCGTCATTTAGTAAGTGTTAAATGCCAACTCCATGTTGGAGAGCTCCGCAGGGAACTCCTTACGTTTTCAGAAGTTTGCTTTGTCTGCTCCCTACTGCAGACCTAGTAATGTAAAGTCAACTCATTTGATGTTCCAGACATGAGGCTTACTTATTAAAC